CAAGCTAAAAATTTGAACTTCTATTAGCTTAAATATCATTTAGCAAAAATCATACCTTTTGAAGAGCAGCTCTATAATGCAACTTGAGTTTTTTGTCAAATATCTAATTAGTTTTTTTTTAGGTTGTTTATACCCAAAACTTTCGATGTTATACTACAAACTATACTTGTATAATATCGATCCTAAAATATGTCGAGTTTGAAAAGTTCTAAAATTATTCTTCCGATTATTTCTAATATCAACTAGTGTTAGATAGGGATGTAAACCAAACCCGGTAGTTTGGGACTTAGTTACCTTGTCACAAGAAGAAACATCAAAAGTATTAATAGAGATTTGTACCTTACCTGATACTAAACCAGAAGACTGGGATACAAAAAGGATTCGAAATATTTGGCTTAGGAAAAGGTTGGTGAAAAAAAAAAAGTTGACAATAATGTTAATATTATTTTATCTTTTATGGTTATTTTTAATTTATATTTTAGAATTTTCAAAATAATAATAATAGTTTCATTTTTTTATTTGTTTTTCTAATTATTATCATTATTATTTTTTACTGATATAGCAATAAAAATATTCAACTCTATAACTATTTAAACCTCTTAAAATTTATTTACAACAGAATCGAAAGAATTATTAAAATTAACTAGTGTTTTAAAATCTACTAGTGTAAAACATTCAATTATTGTTAAAATCTGCTGAGATTGATTATGTTATAGAACATTTAATCTTGAAGATGCTCATAAAAAATTGCGAAAAACATTTGATCACAAAGGATATATAAGGAGTTCGTCTATTTTCAAAAACCTGCAGAGCATTCATTTATTATAAAAGTACATTAAATTAGAAGATTAAAGTAAAAAAGATGAACTTAAAAGTATTCGTCTTAAATCTGCAAATATGGAAAATGCTGGTATAATTTTCAATCTTGGACATTGTTATATTGATAGAATTGAGGTTAAAAAAAAAATTCAATATTATAAAAAATCTGCTAATATGGGTCATGCTGTTGGAACGCGTAATATTGATATAGGCAGTTGTTATAGATTCAGAATTGAAGTTGAAGACGAATGTAAGGCTTTGAATATTATTTTAAATAGTATTGCAGAAGTAATTTATAGCGAGCAAATTTTTGGTATTAGTATAATTTGTAAATAGACTCTTTAAATTTTTATTAACGTTAAATTTGAATGAATATTGTTTAAAAAAAAAAGGTTATCAAACAGAAGAAATATTTAATAAATATACACTGATATACGAATTAAATAACGATTACAATATAAAAGGTCTTTGACTATTATCTTGTTCTCTATAATATTAATATATGAGAATATATTTCTTTGTGTATATCTATATTATTGTAATTATAAACATATACTTTCATCTTGTGCCTAATAATATCTATCATATTTGAAGTTAGGCAGTTTGAAATTAAAAATTCATTTAACGTTCTTTCTCCACTTCTGAAGTTCTCTCTTAAATTATACAATATGAGTATAGTCTGAAAAATTTGGGAAATCTCAGAAAGCTAGACAAAACAACCAACACTAACACTAGCTGATTCAGAATTAAGCTAACCTGAACCTAGTTTGGATCATTCAAACCTCTTTTAAAATTACTGTTTGTTTAATTTTTCCTCTCCCTCCTCCACACAAAAACCGAAAAAAGAACGTTAAACAAAAGGTTAAATTCAAATGGCCTCATTTAAGAATATGAATAATAATAATAAATTTCTTATCTGGAACTGTTCAATAATCACAACCAGAAATAATAACCACTCTTTCCAAATTACGAATAATTTATATTATTTACTTGTCACCTAAGACAGTTAAACATATTTACTTTAAACTATTAATAAATCGATTCATTAAGTTTTTTTCGCAATTCACACTCACTTTAAATAAGAAAAGTTACTTGTAGTAAAACGATCTTGTTGGAAATACCTTTTTTTTTTTTACCTGTTTTTGAGTACCTCATAAAAGTAGAAAATAAATAGCAGAAAAAAATTTTACAAACGTAACTAAATTAGCAAGTACTAGTGAACAAATTTGATTAGACGCTCAAAACTACGTACATATAGCTAGAAATAGATAATGCATTGTCAATAAACAAAAAAATAAGTGTAATATTTTCCCTTTATAATAAAATGAAGATCGTAGGACATGTCCTGTGATCGCTATTATAATAATAATACTATTTATAATAAACATTTTCATTCGCCATTTAACAAAAGTTCATCCATTTCCTCTTCTGGTACAGGTATTAGATTATCTTCCGGTAAGTCTATCCATTCTCGTAGTTTACTGATATCATCTTCAACCGAAGGTACAAAAGTACGAATTTTTTTTAAGAGTTTTTTTTGTTCATTGAGCTCATTCCTTATGATAGCAAAAAAATTAAAAAATTTTTATATAACACCCAATTTCTTCGAACGAAAAGGGAATT